GTCTCTCCCGAAGCCACTACGAGTGAGAGGTAATTTTTTGCCCTTCGAATCATTATTGGGGTCACCGACTCCCACACGTCATGGTCTCTCTGTCATTTACAAGATTCTGTCGGGAATCACTGGAGACCAGCCCCCGTCATACCTTGGGAAATGGGAACAGGAATTCCGAACACCCTTATCCCTCTCTCAAAGGTCCAAGGTGCTGCATATGTGCTCCTCTGCATCCACGGATAGCTATATGATGGAAGTTAACTTCAAACTTCTCGCGAGGTGGTATCAGGTGCCCACCATCACCCATGCCATCAACCGGGCAAACTCCCCGCTGTGTTGGAGATTATGCGGAGCTCAAGGCACGTATGCTCACTTATGGTGGGATTGCCCGCACATACAACAGTTCTGGGGGGACGTCACCCGTCTCATTTCCACCATTAGCGGTATACCTACACACATGGACCCCTGGCTGTGCCTCTTCCATCTTAACCCCCTTTCAATGCGTTCATATAAGAGATCGGTAATTCCCTTTATGCTCAATGCAGCGAAAGCTCTCATCCCCACACACTGGCGCTCAAACCAAACACCCACGGTGGCAGAGTGGTTGACACGGGTGGACCATCTGCGTCTGATGGAAGAACTCCATCACTTTAGTAAGGATACATATAGCACTTTTCACACGACTTGGTCATGGTCTGCTTTAAAACCGGTTACTCTATTTTATTTTATTTTTTTTTTTATTAGTAACTCTGTAAAACTGGCGATTGTCTTTTACCCTAACACACTACGCTTCCGGTAAAATAATTGCCAAGTTCCATTGAGGGGCCCCATCACTGTATTGTTATGCACTGTTTTGCCACATGCCTGAATGCGCATATCGCACCACGCTTACTCCAAAAGCGCCCCGACCAGGGGATCAACCCCCACCCCCCTGTATCCCTGCGTCTCTTGTCCCCCCTTTTACCTTAGATATCGTATGTAATGTGATTGTCTTAATGTATGCTTAATGTATTGTATGTGTGTTTTTTGTTATATTTTGAAAATCTTTAATAAACATTTAATATGAAAAAAAAAAGGTTGTATAAAGAAATCCTAATTCTGAGGAGCAGTACCCCATAGCAACCAATCAAATTCACTGTGCTTAGTCTAGCCAGTATAAGGCTGGGGTCACACCTGCACTACACCCGGAAATGTTTAGTAATGACAATCTACAAACACATACTTCTAGATAATTGGAGGCTTTATATTCTTTACATACCTTATTTCTCTTTTCTTCCCCAGTCTGCTGACAGTGGCCATGTTTACTACGGGCAGATTACAAGCTCTCGTTTCACTTCCTGGACTTCTGGCACATGTGACTAGGACATGAGGCCATGCACATCACCCCAGGGGAGGAAATGCCTTTCCCTGAGATCACAGATGTGATTTCCCAGCAATGCTCTGCTGATGACAAGGCAATACCAGTGTGCATTGCATTGACAAACTGAAGTTATTTGCACTTTCAAAGCAGGAATTGAATGCTCTGCAAGTGTAAGTAGTTCAAAATCATAGCATTTTACACCTGAATATGTCTATGTTATTATTAATCATCATACATAGAGGGATGCATTGGTAGAATTTGATTTTTGAGTGTAAAGGTCCGCTTTAAGTGGATCTCTGCGTTCTATTCTAGGCCCTCTGCTGCAGTCTGTGTGAATGACACCAGATCTGACTTTTTTGCCATCTCTAACGGTATGCTGCAGGGGTGTCCTCTCTCCTCACTCATTTTGACGTTGGAACCGTTTCGGTGTGGCATAAGATCACAAGAGTCTATTCGGAGTATTACTAAAAGAACGGGGAACACAAGCTCGCAGTTTTTGCAGATGACCTGATCTTTTTCATATCTAGTACCCATAGCATCTGTGCCTTCTCTGCTTCAGGCTCTTGAGGAATATGGCTCAAAACAGCGGCACCCACTGTGCGAATTTTGGCCAGTTCCTCAAGAAGGTACCTATATTAATTTAGCAGACTGAAACAGATTTTAATTTAACTTTGTCCCCCTTTAGCAAACGACTACATAGGACCTGACTTCCTGTCATTCCCTGACACGTCCTTGGTTTAGATGATGCAACTTTCTTAAGATGACTGTTTTGCGCAGACTCTTGTACCGCTTTCAGGCCCTCCATATTAAGCTCCCCCAGACATTTTTCCTCCACTTAAGACGCCTTTTCACTATGTTTCTCTGGGCACACACTCCCCCCCCTGAATTCGCTACAGTACCATAACCCTTCCGAAATGTCACAGGGGTATAGACCTTCCGTTTATGGGCAAGTATTACAAAGCAAGCCAGCTAGTTAAGGTTGGCGGATTGGTGCTCTCATCGGCATACAAAAAGTTGGGTCTCCATGGAAGAAGAGGACTCCCTAACCTCACTCTTGGGCTTTCTACCTCATTGCCTCCCACCCTTCGCGCCCACCCGACTTATTTTGGAATCAGCCTTATTCCCCGACTTTACGCCTGTGGTTTGAGAAGATTATTGATATCGGTCGAATGGAGGACCTGACTTCAACTATGAGGGGTGTTCTGGGTCCACCTGGGGCACTTGGCTCTTCTTCAAATGACTGATTCATATCTTCGGGGCCAGTCTAACTCTGCTTCATGACTGCCCCTTGGGGTGGGACCAGGAGTTTTTTTCCTATGCTGTGTGCTTACCGAGTCTCACAGGGGTTGGATGGTCACCCTTTCCCCTCTGCTCCCATTGCCTTCCACTCCTTTTCCTTCCCACTTTCTCCACCTCTGGCTTTGTGTTGCCTTATAGGCAATATATGCAGCTACAAGATTTTCATCTTGCTCTACATATCCTCTCAATATGGGAGGATATGTCTTCACTGTTGCTTTTTTATGAAGTGATATCCAAAAGGAATACACTGTTTTTGATCCTAATCTCTCTCACAAACTTGCTCTACTTTATATTGTGTGTGATCATAGGATTCCTACATAATATACTAACAATAATGGTGACCCCTGATTACTTGTGTATATTGCCCGAGTTGTAATGATGTTCAGTTGTGACTTTTCTGCTGTATTTTGCATCTACCCAATAAAGATGTTTTGAAGAATTAAAAAAAGAAAAAAGGACAACAGGCATAAAATGCTCACCTGCTCATCCATATCCGATTCCCCATCTGTAGTCTCATATCCCACAATGGAAAGGGCATCTAACTCTTGTATTTCCTGACACAGACTGTCCATAAGGTGCTGATTAAACTGGTAGCTGCATATAAAAAAAAACTTCCATGGTAAAGCAAACATTTTAACACATTTAAGATATATATGCAGGCTACCTTTTCTGACCTCACATTCTAAAAATATTACATTAGCATGTCTGCTAAAATGCAGAGTAACTATTTGACAAATACTTACTTTCCTGCACTCAGTATGAAGTCTCTGAAGAATTCCTGGTACCCAGGAAAAGAAGGGGGAGGGCAGGGGCCACCAACACTCTGAGGGGCCACAAATCTTTCTTGCAGTTGTTTCAGTCTGTTCAGGTTGTCAGATCCCAGCATATTGAGTAGGTCCTGATCAGGGTTATCACCAACTCCAGCAGTTACCTTTCCTCCATTCGGTCCCTTACACAGCTAACAAAGAATCATATAGTATTAGAACATAATACTCTTCAATATTAAACAAAACATGCACATTTTCCCATGGTTTAAAAAAATGAAACTAAGGACTCAAAAGCGTTTTAACCACTGTGTGCCATTCATAATACCCAAAAGGTACATTTAGGCTCCGTTCACACCTAGGCATTTTGTCGCTCAAAGCTAAGCACGGCAGACCGCTCAAGACTTGGATTCCTATTAATTTCTATTGCCCCTGCTCACACCCGAGCGTTTTGTCGCACAAAGTTTCCCATTGAACTCTATGGGGCCAAAAAGCGCTCTAATCTGTCATAAAGTGGCTCATACTTTTTCCAGCAACAGGTTTTGTTTTTTTGCTTGCGACATATATATAGTAGAAACATGTGTAGCATTTCCTGATCATGTCAAAGACACTTTCCACTTTCGCAGTCAAAGTGGGATATCACCTATTTTACATTTGTTACATGTTCCCATTCACATAGCATAAGCTAACTTTTAAACATGCTATTTGCAGTTTAAATTGCTTTTATTTGTGTTCTGGTTTCTTAAGGCTTAAACTTCCTACTTGCTTTTTTTTTAAATGTTAGGAGAGCTTGTGAGGATTTTTAAACCTGTCTGTACGGAGCTGGCTTAGTAAGTAGATTTGAACACTGCCTGTCCTAACAAACAGTTAAAGGATTATAACCCTGGCTTCTGCAATGTATGTAAATGAGAGAAACACAATCCTCAAATTTCAGTTTCATGTTTTTCTATAAGAAAAGATCACTGTGATGGAGAAAAAATTCTGAGTTTACTCATGTTGCCTGCTGCAACAAAACATCTAAAAAGGTAAGAAATATTTTAAAAAAATATATTTTTAATTATGATGTGTGACTAGAAAACACACAAACAACATATTCTCAAATTTGACCCCAAAAGATAATATTGCAACTGGGCTGTATCATACAGAAATCTATTTTATCTGCCACTGGTTCACAACACTCAGAAATGGAGTTGTTGATAGCTTAATGAACTATGTTATATTCAAATGAGCCAACTGTCGGGCCTGAGCAATGTCACAGAATGGGTGCTGTAATGCTGACTTACAGGCAGTCACTATTTGCAAAGAATATTCCCAATGGCACCTTGGAAAACATTCCTGTAAAGCTTCAGGTAAGGTCTAGTATCTTATGGTCCTACTAAATGGCTCTGATTAGGGATGTCCCGATACCGATGCTAGTACCGGTATCGGGGCCGATACAGGGCATTTTCAGGAGTACTTGTACTCCTGAAAATGCCCCGATGCATAGATCAGATACCGGCCCTTTACATTTTTTTTTAACTAGCTTCGGCCATTGACCCCTATAGCCCCTCCCCCGGAATACCTCTCCACCAAACTTAGGCTCCCTCTCCGCTCTGACCTGTCCGGACGGAAGTGTGACAGCGTGGCGGACGGTAAGTGTTCTGTGTGGACAGTCTCTTCTCCCTGCTGGTGCTGGCTGCAGCGGTCTGTGTCCCTTTCAAAGACCACTGTAGCCAGCACGAGAAGGGAGAAAAGGCTGACTGTGAAATCCCCCGTTGCCCCCCTCCCTGTACGTTAGCTGCTGCTGCTCCTCTGTGTCCCCTCCTTTTAAACTTGATAAAACTGTTTGCTTTTGGTAATATATCACAAAGTGTGAGATGTCCGTGTTCCTTATGTGTAATGCAGTCACCCGACATACGCTGCAGTTTTCACTCTAATTGAAAGAAAAGACTGTCCGTTCAGTGTGCTCACGGGCGAGGAGAGGAGAGAAGCTGTAAATCTTGCCTACGGACAGAACGGACATTGCCTTCTTTCATTGACAGGGAAAACTTCTGTGTACCTCTGGTGAGGGCATTATTAAACACATAAGGAGCACGGACAGCTGACACTGAGCTACATCACCAAAAGCAAACAGTTTCATCAAGTGGAAAAGGAATGGACACTTGTAACAATAGCCAGCCTGCTATTGGATATTTTAAATTGCAATAGCCAATAGCAGGCTGGCTATTGTACCCACCCATTTCCTGCTGTCATTCAGCAGAGAGGACCTGATTGAGAACTTTGTCTTCAGTTCCTTCCTTTGCTGATTGACAGCAGGCAGTGGGCGGGTACAATAGCCAGCCTGCTATTGGCTATTGCAATTTAAAATATCCAATAGCAGGCTGGCTATTGCTCCCAGCCACTGCCTGCTGTATTTACATTCAGTGAATCCAGTGAAGTAGAAAGGTGACACTAGAGGTCTAAAAGACCTCTAATGTCACCTTAAAGAGAACCTGTCACCTCCAATGCACGCAGCACTGGTGAGAAACTGCCCTAAAATCATTAGTCTGTATTGTTTTCGAAAAAATGTCACATGTGCCTTTAAGAAAAAGTATCGGAAATTGGTATCGGCAAGTACATGAGGGACAGTACTTGTACTTGGTCTTGAAAAAGTGGTATCGGTACATCCCTAGCTCTGATTTCAGTTACCTTTGAGGTCATACAGGGCCACTATAAAAAAAAAAATAGTCCAACAGGGCTATTCACAAAAGGGTGAAGAGTTTGGAGAAGGCAGGGGAAGTGAACAATCTAGGACAACATATCCGATTTGGAAAAATTCTTCAATTCAGCTCACTTTCCAGTTCAGCTATGTTGTCCTAGATTGTTCACTTCTGCGTTCTCCAAACTCTTCACCATTTTGTGAATAACCCTGTAAGTGTCTGACAGAACCATCACATTTCTTGATAAAAGTCGAGCAATATCTATTAATTAGCATACACCCAAATATATCCCATAGCGGACTGTGAAAAACAGAGACAAAGAAATCACGTTTTACCTGCACAAGTTGCTTCTGAAATAATCTTGCAAAATGACTATGATTAGAAGCTAAGGACAAGTTTAACATCATAGCCCTGAGAGAAAGGAGGAGATTAGTGTTAATTGAGGAACACAACATATTACAGCAGCTTGTCATGTGAAATCTGCAAAACCCTAAGTAGGCTCCCAAAAGACCAGAAGCCCATTAAAATATTTCTAAATATTGTAGCACAGTGGCTTAGTGGTTAGCACTTCTGCCTTGCAGCACTGGGGGCTCACCAGTGGCATAGAACATTGGGAGTATTCAGATTTGGTCATACACATAAGTCTGGTGCCTCACCAATTACCTTCTTATGCAGTGATCTGCTGAATCCATAAAGAGAACACTGGAAATCTTTGACTCCTAAGCAGAGGTTGGATCACAACTGTTCCTAAACTGCTCCCAGCCCGCTAGACATTTCTTTTCCATCTTTCTCACCCAAACACACTGTGTGGAATTTAGTTTAAACCTCATACATCATTTCACCTAAATTAGCTCAGAATATATAGCTGCGTTATTATGTTATGACTGAATAATATACAAAATGTTCATACCTGATCTTATTGCCCAGGAAACGCTCAAAATCCCAGTCAGCCTTTTCATGGCAATCTTCCCACTCACGCAGCAACTCATAAAAGACATCTCTAGAAAGTATATGAGACTGTATGTAGAAGGCAGTAACATACTTTGGGTTATATTAACTAAAGAAAACTTTAATGTGATGTTATTTTTTTTACTTTGAAATGTGTACAAACAAAAAAACATTAACATGTCAACACCCACAATAATTCATAGACAAATAATGAAGGGAATATAACACACCTTTGCTTTTTGAAAATGTGGAATGAACGATCACTAGGAAAGTTAGAACGATTATCGGTTTCTGGCTGAAAGGACACAGAATGTAGGGTTGCTGGAAGCAGAAGAGATACCTTTGAAACAGAAAAACAAGTTAAGTTTAAGTAGACCTACTTAGGATTTGTGAAAGTTAAATCTCAAGAATTCTACAAAAGTGAACTTCATAAATAACCAATCCCTCTGGAGAGGACATTACTATTCTGGTTAGGTACTCCTATAAGGCTAACCATTTCATTATCTCTTCTGTTGACCACATTTATGACTGTAGCTACATTTCAATAAAAGGAGCTTTAAATAAGAATTCTGGGGGCAAAATTTTATTAACCCTTGCAGCAGGACTACCCTACCCACTGCAAGGGTTAACCGCTTGTTTGCATCTAGATGCTAAAAAAAAAAAAGTTATACTCATCCGATTTGGCTTGTTCTTAGACCGGTCCCTAGAGCCTCTCCCCCCTCTAGGGCTGCAGCGGTCTACGAATCCTTGTGTCATCAGGTTCTATACAAGTGTATAGACGTGAAGAACATTTAATCTGTGCAACGGACGAGGAGACACGCTTCAGTGACAGGAGCAGGGAGGCGGCTCTGCAGTCTGGGTGATTATAATGGGTTTTTTAAACACCTAGATACAAACGAGCAGTTAAGCTCCCCAGAGTTCTTCTTTATAGTTAAATCAGGTTTATTAAGATATATATAAAAAAAAAAAAGAAGAGTATAACAATAGAACAAGTCATAATGGAAAACACAAAAGGACGCCGCACAATCAGATCATAGAGAGATAAATGCTTCAAGCAAGTATCGACCGAGATAATACGGTATTGAGCTCAAAAATGGCATTAAAACACACAAAAAAAAAAGAACAGATAAAAGTAAAAGGATAGGAAAGAAAAAGAAGAAAGCAAGGGGGATGGCAGGACCAGAGAGACAAATAGAAAAAAGAAAAGAAAAAAAAAGGAAGGAAAAACAGCGATGGAGATAAATACTGAGTAACGACATCAAAATCACAGGAAGCTCATCGGAGTCCAAGAATAGAATCCATAAGGACCATTGAATATTAAAACGATCTAAAGTATCAGCGTCAGTGGGCAGGAGTTCCTCCATCCGCATATCATTAACTTTACTAAACCACAGGGATAGCGGAGGGGCAGTGGGCAACTTCCAATATGCAGGAATAACCCGACGCGCCGCAGCTAGGAAATGCTGCAATAAAATCCCAGAGTTCTTCTTTAATGAATGACTATCATATTTATATATTTCTCGACACAGACATTCAGACCAAGTTGCAAAATGTCTAGCAAAAATGGCAGTGACTGGCCTTCAGAAACTATGACCTTGACATGGGGGTTCTTTTATTGGTCACATTTTATTTTTTTAAAAAATTATTTGTGAAAATAAATTGCTGCAATTGCTTAAAATGGACCATGCACCTTAACATGAAAGATCAATCTCTCCTTGTTGAAGCATGTAGGTAAATTGCAGAAAAAAAAAGCATCTCGGATTTTTGTCACCTGCGGCTCCTATGTGAGGGTGACATCTTCTGCAGACATCTGGAGAATGTAAAGTAGCCCAAATGTCCATGAGAATACACTCCCAGCACTGTGTTGCAGAACCTTCTTGCAAGAGTAATCATTATTCCCCTGGCTCTTGTTGGCAGGAGGATGACATCACCCAATTTACTAAGGAAGCCAAAGGAAAGGCATGTATATTTCATTTTTCCCACACCCAAAAGTGATTCTTTAAAATGTTTATGCATCACTTTAGCATGGGGTGGGGGGAATATTTAAAAAGTAGACCTTGCATAAAGTGCAATACCCATTTATGCACCCAGGGAAATGTTACATTTGGTCCCTGTCATTGGACAGCTTGGTCAGTATGTAAATGAGGGGGAAAACAACAATCAGAAATAAATATTTGTAAACCGACAATTTCATTACATGGATTAACAAGATTTATTCAAAATAGGACATTATTTGCAAAAGTGGTCCTTTGAGGGTAAATTACCAAACAAAAACTATAATGAGCAGAAGTACACAAATAGCACTTGATGTTCACATAACAGCATCGGTACATTCACTATTTCAAGCGACCAAAGAAGACCTGTCAGCCCTTCGATATGCGATTGTAAGTTAAAATGTAACAGACGTAATACAAGTATATAGATACTGATGGAATTATACAATGTACCTTCCCTGTACTGGTTCTGTGCGCTTCCAACAGGCGTTCCTGTAAAGGGGGAAAGAATGTCCCAATACGTTCATTTTCTGCTAGAAGCTTTAATGTGTTCTTATCTAAGAGAGAGATCACCCTGCAAGACAGAGGAAAGAAATAAACTGCATTTTTGTTCATTCTTTAAATCTGAAGAAAAAAAACATACAGTATTTCTAAACACAGACAGACAAACGGCTAGAGATCAGCTTTAACATATGCAACGGGATTTGTAGTTCCACCACAGCTGGAGGGCCAAAGTTTGCCCACCCCCTGGGTCCAGGGCATACTGAAATAAGACATTATTTTGTTTTAGAGCTGTACCTCCCCCTCCCTCAGACATTACTGTGGAAGTCCCACTACAACTGCAACATATGGTACTTTTAAAAGAGAACTATAGCCAAACTTTTTTGGGCTTTAGTTCTCTGTTTGGTCAGGGGAGAACATTTACTAATCTCCTCCTGTGACCCAAAGTCAGCATATTGCCCGCTATATGCCAACAGCGCAGAGCCGCGCTGCAGCCAGTTAAGATCCCCACAATATAGTCGTGATCCACCCCGCTGTCTGATTCACAGCTGGCTCTGCCTCTGTAGAACCAGATCCAACTGTGCCTACCTCCTCCCGTCTGTTCCCTGCTGGGAATCCCTGCTGGGAACAGTAAATGGCAGTCACCGCTCTCCGCAGGGAGAAGCTGTGAGTTGAGCAATCAGCGGTTTGTGATCGAGCTATGGAGCTGACATGTGACGGGTGCAGTGTCACACCCCAATCTCAAACCATTGGAAAAACTACATTTTACTCTCCCAATACTTCTCCTTTAAGGTGTTGAACATTTCCTTTACATCTTCTACCTATAATGTAACAGTTGGCCTGTACATCCTACAACTGCAGTAAAGGAAAACAATTAGTAAAGAACTTCAGCAACCTCTGCATTACAATCGTCACAAGCAACAGTTAAATATCTATGTGAATGAGTGTGCAGCGCTTGGGGTCACCAATACATTTTTGACCCCCAGTGTCCCTAGCGCAGCAGCTTTGTGTATATATATTTATATA